CTTGGTGAAGAGAATGTAGTCAGAGTTAAATCAGCAAAATTCACCTACAGTGGATTAGCCATTGTGGGAATCCAGCAAGAGACTTCCTTTTATGTTAAAGTTTTGAACCTACAAAACTCCTGCTGAGTGATCTAGAACCATCTTAAGGTTGGCATTAAGGTCGGCACTCAATTGTAATCGAGAACATGGGAAACCTACTCAATGGTACCACAATGTGTCTGGAGATTGACAATGAACAGGAAGGGTCTGGTCAGCCATGAAAATGGAGAGTTGCTAAGGCCAAAGGTGCAGTGCTCTTGGAAGCATCATCTGGGCTCAGCTGAATACCACATACGGTTCCCTTGGCACACCTTTCCCTCTGGTGCGTGAGGGGGCCTCAAGCTACACCTGCAAGACCCTTCGTGAGAACAACTAGCTCCTCCTCTTGTTTTCATTCCTTGCTCTCCCAGAAAGCACCAAAGAAATGTGGTTTCCTATAGAACCTGGCTTCTAAGGAATCAGGCCCACAAGGAGCAAATGCCCAGGGCAGGCAGACCCATGCGTTCCAGATGGACTGATATTTCAGTTCTTGCTGCAATTAGTCAACTGGCAGTATGCTCCTGGGGTAAGACTCTCTGAGTTGGCAAAAGTGAGACTGCATCACAGTCACAGGCATCTTTAGAAATCCTTGGGGGCAGGTTTCTGTGTCCCTGAGGCTGAGAGGCAGACCCTCCACTGTAGAACATTCACTAAGGAAACACCTATGGGAATCTTAGCAATGCCCTGGTCCTTGACACGGCACAAACTCGGAAGAGCCCTCCAAATCAATACATACTAGAACAGTAGCATCTTCTTCTGGTGATTTGAACAGATTCTCTTAACAAAACTAGAGCCTGAGACTTTAAATCCTTATACCCTATCTTTCAGAAACATTATCTTTTAGAATACCTATTCTATTTTTTAATGACAGTGAGAAGTTGTTTCTGCTATTCTTGAGAGTCCAAGTTCCCCGTTTTCCTTCAGTAATGATGACAGAGAATGCACATTGCTTCATTAGAGCTCTCAGAATATTTAATCTTTCCATTCTGATATTTAATTTTACTGTCAAGGCTCAAAATAAACAGACAGCTATTGAATCTAGGTTCTCTCATAAATAGCTTACATAATTGCTCTAAAATATGCACTAACAGATCAACCGGTGCTCTCAGGGAATATCTTGAGAAAAAGCCCCAAAGCATTTGTCGCCCTGGTGACAGAGAATCTGCTGAGCACTCTCTGAAAGAAAGACCTCCAGCAATACCAAAATGCCCTGTGGTAACCACCTGAATCCACTTCCCAGCAGAAAATATGCCAGCCTCGTCAGAATGGCTTCACTGATGCCTACTGATTCAAGAGTTCTGCTGTTGACTAAGTGCTGTTTGCTGTTGTCTGCCCTAATCATCACAGATCGTCCTCTTTTCTGGGTGAATGATTGCAACCCCAGCCACTGGCAAGACAAGATGACATCTGCTGAAACCAGTGGCAGCATAATGTTTCAGACTCTATCATCCACATAGTGTGTTTGTGTTAATAGTTCTAATCATCTTTACACAGTCAACGCAGCAAACGACAGCCCCATATCCAGTCACATTGTCACCAACTCACCAATACTCTGGGTGCAGCAATAAAGGCTGGTATAACAACCGATGCAAAGCTGGTTGGCTGGTTTTATAGGCCAGAGAGGATGAAAAGGATGTAATACTTTGAATTTTCTAAAAGCTAAATGTCACATTATACAATCACATCTCAGCTGTAGGTATTACTTTGTCTGACAGGTATGACTATTGTTCCCCTAAAACTGAGTTTTCTGCTTCTTAGGGACAAGGTTAAAAGACCTATCATCGAGATAATAGCTGCTTGTCTGGGGTTGGAGAGATGCCCATGGGGCCCCAAGGAGCATGTATGCCTCAACGAGCAAGCCAAGATGAATCTACCCATCACTGACAACTTCACTGTCTCAGTGGAAGTCTTTCCTTAATACCTTATGTAACAGAGCAGAGCTTCTAGAAAAGTATGCCATGCAGTCTCTCACCTGAGTGAATTTATTGCCCCACTAAAATATAACTGGGAACTAGAAGACAGGGTACCACAATGTAGGCAACCACAGGCTTTGCCCATTTGTTAAAAGAATTACCCAGATTTTACCTTAGCCTTCAAAATCATACTACCTCAGTCAGAACCAAGGACAGCATGCTTGCTAAGATTCCTTGGCCAGGGCCGGCCCCGTGGCTTAGCGGTTAAGTGTGTGCACTCTGCTGCTGGTGGCCCGGGGTTCGGATCCCGGGTGCGCACTGACGCACTGCTTCTCCGGCCATGCTGAGGCCGCGTCCCACATACAGCAACTAGAAGGATGTGCAGCTATGACATACAACTGTCTACTGGGGCTTTGGGGTGAAAAATAAATAAATAAAAATTATAAAAAAAAAAAAAGATTCCTTGGCCATAGGGAGAGGAGTCAACATGAAGGTCTTGGCACCCAAATGCTTCAGGATGTGAACACCTTTTACCAGGCTTACAAAGATCAGTGAGAAGGTGAAACGGGCAGTCTGGATGGCCTCCTCACCTCCACTCCCTGGGGGAGGCCCGCCCTCAGCGTCCTTTCAGAAGGGTCTGGCAGGTCTCTACAGCCCTGAACACCAGACCTCTGCCCAACTCTAAGCCCATGAGGGCAACAACCATATGTTCTCTTCACTTCCCACCAACAGGCATGGTGGAGAGCCCAGAGAAGGGACCCAACAAATACAGAGTGAATGAATGAATGAACATGAAACATAGCTGTCAGGCAGCAGATCCTGAAAAAATATGAGAATTAACATGAAGATTATGCCATTCCGTGCTCGCTTGTCTCTACAAATAAATTTTATAAAGTACTAGATTTCTTTGTCAAGTCTATTCATCAAAGTTTTTAGATGTACTTGGATTCCCAGGGAAGCTCACCAAGACACCAAGATAAGTCTGTGTTGACTTGACCAGCCGAAGCAAAAAGAAGCCGAGTCACACTTCTATCATTACTGCACGGTTTTAGCCGGAGCCTTTCCACCCTTCTGGTAATAGTAATTACAAAGACCAGAATAGTTAACACGTATGCAGTGTTTACCAAGTACCAGGCCCTGTGCTAAGGAATTCATGCGCATCATCTCAGCTAATCTCCTCAACAGTTCAACAAGGTAGGTACAATTATTCTCACAATTTTATAGATGGGAATACTGAGGCTTAGAGACATTCAGGGAGTTGACCTTGAACAGAACAAGTGACAAGGCCAGGATTCAAGCCCAGGTCTATCCAACGCTGCAGCCTTGAGCCACAACCACTACACTCTATAAATGTTTGCCAAACCTCATTCCTGTGTCCTAGTGTTCAAAAACATTTACTATCTGGTCATTTCTAAGTGTTAGCATCCGCTCTTCTCAGGGATGGATTCTGTCAACTGATAACCCACCACTGCAATTGTCATCAGTAAAAATGGCTCAAGTGATTTTGCTTGGTGGAAACTTTCTTTATCGAATGGTGAGCTCCTCTTTGTTCTGTGAATTTTTCCCCTCCTAAAATATGGTTGGGAACTGGAAGCTAAGGTTGCCATTACTTAGACAGATACTTGCTTCTATAGTAGCGCTTCCCAAACTGTAATGTGTAAACAGATCACCTGAGAATCTTGTTAAAAATGCACATTCTGATGCACCAGGTCTAGGGTGGGGTCCGAGCGTTGCTAATAAGCTCCAGGTGATGCTGAAAAGTGACAAGTGTGGTCCATGGACCAGCAGTAAGTATCAAGGATCTGGAAAACACTAGGAAGCAGAATCCAGATTCTCTGAACCCCAAACTCAATTTCAAGAGAGAAGAACAGGTGTGGAATAGAATATCTTTAAGCTAAACAATACAAGCAAGCAAGCTATCAAAAAGCCTAAAAGGTGTGGCCCTAGGCTTCAAACCAATCTAAGGATCTATGGGGCATAATCCTGGTGGGTGCCAACACCATCTACCTTCTTGAACAATTATATCCATTCATCTATGCAGTTCATACACCATCAATGCTGTTTAGTATCCTTGGCAACCAATCTACCAGTATTCTATCCTTCCTGAAGCTCAGCTCCATGGGAATGGTGATGGGTCAAGGCCAGGTTCAAGGTCTAGTAACAGAGCACCCATGAGCATGAAGAGGGCCCAGGTTGGGGAAGGTGGGCAGAAGTTATGCAAAAGTCTGAGCAAAGAGCCCTGAGGTGCAGAACAGGACGGAAAAGACCAAATCGCTGCCCCCTTATAACGTAAAGTGCTTCTAACTTTTCAACACTTCCTGTTACATCATCATCAGAGAAATAATTCACCTGGAGTGAGGCAAACAAAGATGGACTGGCTCATTTAAGCAATGGCATCGTAAAATGGGTTCCCACAGAGAAAGAGAAAGCACAGATCAGAGGTGTGTGTGTATATACATATATGAATGTGTGTGTATACACACGTCCATATATATACACACACACAGACACACATACACACACGCACATCGTAGGAAGATTAGCAGATCTCGCTCTGCGTCCTTAGCTTCAGAAAGTGCTTTTCAGCCACTTCCACAATATTGGCCACTTCACCACCCCCAAGGACGTGCTGTGCAGGACACAGGCAGTCTACCTATTAAATGGAGCACTCACGGGTTCTTGCCATTTCTTTGAGCGCTTAAATGTTCCAGGTACCGCATCAAGTGCTTTACACACCTTATCTTGTTTATTCATGCAACAACCCTAGGATAACGATCACTGTCGCCAGCTGACAGATGAGGAAATTGAGGCTCGTGGAAGTTAATGGAGTTGTTCACAGTCACACCGGGTATAGGGCAGCCAAGGGCTCAGAACCCGGGTCTGTCAAACTAAAATGCCAGTGCTCTTCAACGTTACACTCAACTTCCCCACCCGCATCCCAGGTCCCATCATGGAAGCCACAATTCTGACAGCGTGTGGAGCACTGAGATCAAATCCACAAAGACTTACATTCCCCTCTTTTTCAAAGTCGGGTGGAAGTAACTTCACGAAGTTATCAGGGAACACTCCTCGTCTGCCGTTGAGCTCTCCTTCCCACCAGCCTACATCGATGCAGTCCTAGGAAACAGGAGAGCAGAGAATGAGAAATGGGGCAAGCACCCTCCAGGGAGATCTGACAGCCCTTTTAGAGAGAACGGAGGCCCATTCCTTGAGGCCACTATCAATGCGACAATGGTTACTAAGACTAAGTCAGCACAAACGCCAAAGTCAGATGGGAGAACAAAAGCTTAAGTGTGCGAGAGCTGCTGGCTGGAACTCAACACTCGGTGCTGCTTTTAGATGCCCAGAATCAATAAGATCTGTTTTTTTTCCTTTAAAGATGGGAGGATATGTATTTTCCTTATTTTAATTTTACTGAAATAAAATTATTTCATTAACTGCAAATGTGGTTTAGAAAATATCACATGCACAAATGTTCTCTTTGATTAGCCTGTCACAAAGCTTGTCAAAATTAAAAAGGGCTTTGCGACAGTCAGCCAAGCATAAGAAAAATCACACTTTACGCAAGCTCTTTAATGCACCGCTCTCCTTCACCTTCTCCTTTCGATGCTGATGGGCCACAGTTGTCATCATGAACAGCCCTTCCTCCAGCTTATAGAACTCAGTGTTTGCTTACTAAATGAATGAATAAATCTATTCCCTCTTCCAGATCATACCTGCTTCCCTCTGAATAATCCTTATTCTGTTTATTCACTCATCAAACGTTAATTGAGCGCCTACTTTGTGCCAGGTGCTAGGGAGAGAGAGAGAGCGCTCAGCCTTTGCCAAGTTTTCATCCTGAGCCTGATGGCCTCACGGTTCTCCTGGGCACTCAACCTCATACCATAAAACCACTTATATTTGTCCCACAATCCAATTGCTTGGAACACTGATTTGCTCTAGTTTTGTATCTCGCATTTGTCCTCTGGGTTCAATTCCACTTCTACCACCCCAACCCAAGACTCAGCTGGCCTATCGTAAACCTCCTCGCTTGGGCATTTCTTCCTGCCCAGTGTATGTACAATATACACGCCACTGTCAAGTACACATCCTTGAGTAAAAACCCAATTTCTCAGACTGTGATCAACAACTTCTCAGCTAATGCCCAAAATGAGTGAAGGCTTTCCAAAATACACCAGGAACACAGAGGACTTTTAAAGTTACATCTGAAGGAGGGAATGCTGAAGAAAGTGAGAAGATCACGTTCAGGGCCCACGGAGAGACACTCATGGGCTTCCACAACACCAGTGGCATTGGGGAAGGGGCCAGGAGGGCTCAGGCAGTAGACAGGCAGTGGCCTAGGGCCTGGCTGTAGAGGGCCCTGGAGGGCCACGGCTTATGTGACTCACTTGTGCCCTGCTAGATCACACATTCCAGCAAGGTGAGGAACACATCTGACTTTTCACCATTATAACCCAGCCCATTGCACAATGCCCAGTACAACAAATATTTGTGGAATCAATGAAGACTCTTTCTAACCCTAGTTCTGTGATCTCTTGCAATCCAACACTTGGGTTATTGCAGAACAAGATAGCCTCTATCTACCTTAACTCGTGATGATTCTATATAAATTTACATAAGGCCCACCTCAGGTGAGAGGTAAATGATTACCACCTTCCCTTCCCCCAGTGGTATGTTACAAGGATAAACCGACACTTCAAAAGAGAGCGTGCATTTTGGAAATGGGTCCTTAATCACAGAATGTAAATTCTAGTCCCAACCAACATCAGAAACAGAGACACTTGAAGCATCAAATTCAGATTTACCCAGAACAAAACAAGGTTCAAAAGACTTACAATACGGGAGAATGCTTATCTTTCTTGGAAAATGACATTGAGAAGCCCTGGTAAATATTCTGGTCCTGCTCATGTCACATCACCCCCTAACCAATCTAGCATCAGTCCCTAAAGAAGGGATTCACCAGTAGAGGTGGTGGTGGCAGAATTTGATGGATTCTGAGGTTCTTCCAACCCTGAGACGTTATGTCATCAACGATAGCGGAAAAACTTATGAAGGAGTAGGGGGTGGAATTTCTTTACTCTTAATTCTTAGAAATTAGTCTTTCAATCCAGAAGGCTTTGCTTCTGAGGAAATGCCTGGCACATTTTTTTCCTCCTCTTTTTCTCGATAAGTCCTTCTCATCTTCAAAACCCAACTTGAAACTCACTGTTAGGAAGGTGATTATGATGAATGCTTTATCTTTTCTCTAACACTCACAACTGTGTTAATTTGCACTTCACGATATTCCACTCAACAAACATCTATTAAATGCAAAATACACTTAAGTTCCTTCTGTAGGCACCAAACACTAAATATGCAAGGAACATGATCCCTAACTCCAGGGAGCTTGGAGATTTACATGAAAGAAAGACACACAGTATTATACAAGGTCTTTTTTCATAACAGGTATCAACCAAGAGCTCTGGTACCAAAGAGGAAAGAATCATTCACAGCTTTTCAAATAATCTTAAATCTTTCCATGTGTGAAGGGTTTGCTTATATGAGGACTGGACTTCCCTCCACATTCATTTCAGATCATGTGATACAGAATTAAGTCCACAAAAGGCACTCAAATATTGTTTAGTGCTACATTTCTTTTAAAAGGCTTTCTTTTGAACTTTCTAAATGGTGCAAATCCATGTTTTGCCTTAGTCTTATGCAAGCAGTAACCCAAGAACCAATGTAATGAAACCTTTTGCGTCATAGGTGAGAAAAACCAATAAAGAAAATTTTATCCAGAATATATCCAGAATATCTTTATATCTAGAGTAACTTTAGAACTCCTACCCACCTACAGGGGAAAACAGTGCATATGACATTATATTTACTATATTCCCATCAGTGGGGAATGCCTTGGATGGTTCCTCTACACTCTGCTTTTTAAGGAATGATTAACAGTGCTAATCATTGCTTCATTCAAGGTAAGAGAGGGAAAGCAGAACACAATATGTCTAACTGTCCTGACTGGTACAGGAACAAATACAAGGCTCATGGGTGAGATAAGCACATTCAAAAAAGAAAACTGCACTGTGACTTAGAATACTAAGAAAAGTGAAAAAAAGAGGCCTGCTGCAAGACAGAAAACAGCCGCAGCATCAAGATGCCTGGAGTGGGTCGGAGATTTTCAGAGAACCGAGGCCTTGTTCTTCCCCTAGCAATAGAAGCTAATTTAAGGGAAACAGGAACAATTTTGACAGCAAAAAGAGAAGTGAAAGTAAGTTCTCTTCAACAAACCAGACAAGAGAACCAGCCTTTTGATGGCAGAAATGAAGAAAGAATTATTCGTATGAGGGCTGGGCACTTCCAGAAGTGTAAAAGAGCAGTGAATTCAATTTATTTATTGAGGACCTAAAACATGTAAGGTAGGAGAGGAATTCAGGAGAAAAAAGAGAGTCATCATATACTTATGGGGCTCCCAAGCTCAGAGCCTTCTGGGAGAGGCAGACACAGTGAATCAATATGGCACAGGGATGCCAGCAGGAGTGCTAGCCTGGATTTAAAAACAAGTAGGACCAAGAGACACCAGGCAGCCAGGAAGGAGAGAATGAGGGCAAGAAGCAAGGCAATGAGAAAAGTCAAGGGCAGGATCACCAAGTGTGAAGGAAGAAGGGAAGAGGGAGAGTGGGAAGCTGGAGTCACGGAAGAGAATATTCAAGAATTGGCGCTTAGGGTGAAGGCAGTGCTTAGCTCCCAGGAGGCTCCCAACCAATGTCTACTGAATAGTGATGTGAGGTGTGAGGCAAGATGGCACCCATGAGTGACCCCTGTCAGAATGGAGGGGCAGGTGGTCAATGACTTGTGAGACTAGAACGTCATCAGGGTGGAGTACATGTCCCCAAAGAGGATGGCAAGGGGTGGGGGAAGGCAGGACAATGAGGCAGTAGATGACCACTGAGGAGAGTGGCCAAAATACTGGAAGATTTTAGGATGACCACATAATTTATTTCCAAACCTGGGACACAATTAATAATTACACCAGAACCACAGGCACAACCCGAGATGATGGTTACCCTAGCAAATTCTGAGATAAGGATGAGGAAAAGGCAGTGTAGGCAGGCGAGGGGATGGCCTCTGAATAAGGCCGGAGTTTGTAGTGGGAAAGAGTAAAAGATTAGCATGCAGATGAAAGTTTCCAGAACAATGATGATTAGAAATAAGCTCTATTGGCATGAAAGCAGAGGACAGTAGACCTGGACCCTTATCGAGAGTCAAGGGTATAAAAAGAATTATATTTCTGACATAGAATGCTCATTCTTCTATGATCAAGTCATTAAAACGGCCAAAATGCTGTCTCTGTGCTTCATCACCAGGTAGATATTACAGTAAAATATGATATTTTTCCTTCTAAAATACAAATGATGTTTTTCCTTTTAAGGAATGAATAAACAAAGCCTTAGGAGTGCTGTACTCCAACCTCTATGTTCTGTACTCTCAGGTTATCCGAGTATCTCAGAGAGAAGGGTCAGAGAGAGAGATCTCAGAGATAGCCGAGATATCTCAGAGAGAAGAGGTGGAGAGCAAACTTGGGCCATCTGATGTGTAAGGGGTTCACTAGTGATAAAAAGTCGGGGTCTCAGTTTCTTGATACACAGGAAAATCTTTGCAAGGTGTAAAGAGCAACACAACTGCTTGTGGTTGTTACTGTCATTACTGTGGTTCTATGGACTGGTCCCAGAGACCTTGAGGGACAATGTAGCCAGGAAAGCTTCTTAATTAAGCTCACAAGCAGTTGTCATGTGACTCAGCACCATCCTCAGGTGAAACACCCTGGCAGCAGCTCACACACTTGGAGGAGGGCCAAGGGGGGGGATTGCCATAGCTCCAAGGTGTGTCTGAGGAGGGAGGCCTTGCCAAGACCTCAATGTCATGCCTCAGTCTACTCGATCCTGCCAGAGGGGCCCTAGGGAACATAGCTGAAGTACTCCACCAATTTACACAGCTATGGTGCCAGGGACCAGCTGAGAGCTGCTCCCTGACATACAACCTGTTGGCTGGGGGCCAGTAGTGAGCTCTGATGTGTCTGCATCTAGTCTAGGCACTTCAAATCTTTAGAAAGGACAAACTTGCCACCTGGCTTG